GTGAGAAATAGAGTGAAACGTTACCTTACTTTGAAATTTAAAACTGAATTCACCTCCCAGCACTCTTTTCTCATTGGTTGGAGTTTCAAATATTACGGGTGACGTCATGTTTCCATAGAAACAATGCAGGCGACACACACACATTCACACGTGTCGCCATCATTTCAAATCTCTTCCACCCCTTCATCCACCCCAAGCAAAATCTCTTCCACCCCTTCATCCACCCCAAGCAAAATCTCTTCCACCCAGGTTGAATTGCACTGCCTTACAGTATATACTGACCAGGTTGCATGGTTCAGTACAATTTCATGTTGAAATACCCCGAAGCGTTTGTTAAAATATCCTAGTGAATATTCACGTTATTGCCCTAATGCAAGTTTATGTTAAGATGTCCCAGTGTATGTTATTGTTAATATCCAGTGAATGTTATTGTTAATGTCCCCGTGTATGATGTTATTAATGTCCCCGTGCATGTTATTATTAATGTCCCAGTGTATGTTATTGTTAATATCCAGTGAATGTTATTGTTAATGTCCCAGTGTATGATGTTATTAATGTCCCCGTGCATGTTAATGTTAATGTCCCCGTGCATGTTATTATTAATGTCCCCGTGTATGATGTTATTAATGTCCCAGTGTATGTTATTATTAATGTCCCCGTGCATGTTAATGTTAATGTCCCCGTGCATGTTATTATTAATGTCCCCGTGTATGATGTTATTAATGTCCCAGTGTTATTAATGTCCCCGTGCATGTTATTATTAATGTCCCAGTGTATGTTATTGTTAATATCCAGTGAATGTTATTGTTAATGTCCCAGTGTATGATGTTATTAATGTTGCATGTTAATGTCCCCGTGCATGTTATTATTAATGTCCCCGTGTATGATGTTATTAATGTCCCAGTGTATGTTATTATTAATGTCCCCGTGCATGTTAATGTTAATGTCCCCGTGCATGTTATTATTAATGTCCCCGTGTATGATGTTATTAATGTCCCAGTGCATGTTATTATTAATGTCCCCGTGCATGTTAATGTTAATGTCCCAGTGCATGTTATTATTAATGTCCCAGTGTATGTTATTATTAATGTCCCAGTGCATGTTATTGTTAATGTCCCCGTGCATGTTATTATTAATGTCCCAGTGCATGTTATTGTTAATGTCCCAGTGTATGATAGTGTCCCAGTGTATATTATTACTGTTAATATCCCAGTGAATGTTTGGTTAAATATCCCTATGCATGTATGTTAAAATGTCCTAGCACAGGTTTATGCTAATGTCACAATGTATGTTATTGTTATTATCCTATTGCATATTAATGTTGATTTGTTCTAGTGCATGTTAATGTTAATTTACCGATACATGTTTGTGAAAATGTTTAAATACATAAATGCTATTATTGATATCTCACAATGCATGTTTGCAGAATTCCCAGTTGATTGTTTGAGTGTGTCCCAGTGCATTCTTAAGTTCTTGTTCATAGTCTTGTATACCGATGAATGTGTATATGTACAGTACACCCACCAACAAAAGTCCCGTCGGTCCTCTCCCCTATCCAAGAACCCCGAGAATTAGAATAATGAACCCAAAGCAATACACATTGATGTATTGTTCAGTCCATAAATGTTTCGGATTCACGAGTCTGAATCTCGGGGTTCGTGGAGCAGCAGAAAAGGCGACAGTGCTCTTGTTCGAGACTGTATACCAATATCAAATAATTTGTTAATAATGATATCCTACCATATGCCCCTAAGGTAAACACTCTGGCCATCTGTTTCAATGTCAACTAAATCATATGTCCAAGTGTTTTACAGGGTTTTTTCTACATGTGGGAAAAAGATTGCAAGAGTAAAAACTAATATTAAAAATGCACAATCACGAACAGAAGTCCCTTTACATGCTTGAGATTCCAAAGTGCTGGGTCGAGTATCAGAACTGCTGCTCTACCACAGTTTAGGTTTGGTACAGTTTCGAACAGGAGTGTAAAGGGATTTCCATTCATGAATGCACGTCGTAATTTTACTAAAGAAAAAAAAATACGTCTAACATAAATCAAGATATAATAAATATACAAGTGTAGCCCCACATGTAGTTTGGTAAATTATTTAACGGAAGATCACCACGAATAAAACAGTTACGGACGAGTCTTTGATTTTGGATACTCAATTCTGTTTAGTTTTAGGTTTTGATGCAAATATAATATCGTCAACACAGGAAGGTGATTTAAGTAGGTACTGTTGACACCCAAATCTACATTCTTTCAACTGAATGGTTTAAACGCGTCTTTCAACCTCACGGTTAAAAGCTTTTGATAGCGGTGTCACCTAGGAACATAACTCCCTAAGATTCGAGTTTTTTTTCATCGCTGTCTCTATTAAAACACATTAATAAAAGACCAGTTCTCTCATACGTCTAAATTCTAAAGTAATGTTAATTAATTTCCTTAAGTCCAAGATCTCCCAAGGCATTTATAACTACCACAGTACTTACTGCATGGATCAAAGCCATTTTTATACACGATGAACGCTTAATATTATGTGTGTGTGTGGACTGTAACAATGATGGGCTGAAGAATATACCTAACTCGAACCTCTTGGGCATGATGACCTAACTATTGAGTACGAGCAAGTAATCCTTTGAATATGATGACTTAATTCCTTGATTACGATGTCTTTTTCCTCTGAACAAGATGACCTGAACTCATGACTAAGATGACAGGTACTCGAGGGGTTAAGTTAACTTCCTCATAAGGTGAAGAGTTCACCAGAGAGTGTACAGGAATTGCCTGTCGTCACTGAGCCAGGGTACGTATTAATCGTCTATTGAGAATTAACACACTGTACACTGTTAGATTTTTCCCCTAACTTAAGTGTAGTATAACCTAAGGGTCTTCAGTCTAAGTGTACAGTTGTCTGATGTCTCAAGTGGTGGTGGTGAAAATCTTCCCTTTAAACACTGTCTTTAACCCCGATCGTGATTTCACCGTTACTATAAACCTGTAACTGGGAAGAAGGATGTTAACGGTGACGAGACTCGGTAACACGGTGAACCTGGCGTCACTCTTAATGATGTGAACCTGACAAAGAAAGAGAAAATTGTGAATCTGAGAAGGCTTTGGTTTTGTTGAGCCCGATATTTTAATATTCAGGCTTTATAAAGTAGAGAAGGCACAGGAATTCGTGGCTGGCTGTAGGGCACACACACACACGCACGCACACACACACACACACACACACACACACACACACACACACACACACACACACACACGAATAAACTGATAAGAAAAACTGTACCTCTTTACCTCAAGTCTTCCTCTGCTATTAATTTATTAATATTATTTTTCTTTCTTTTTTTCTTTACACACTGCCAAGCTTCCTTTACAACTCAAATCTTACAAGGCTGCCGCTGGTAAGAACTAAGTTAAACTGTCGTCAGTTACAGTCAATTGTCCACCATAGTATAATGAACAGTTCCGTAATTTAAAAATTTTGAAGCGATGAGTAAAAGTATTTTCATTATGATTCAACCACAAAGGTTATTTGCACTGATTACTCATTGTTGGATAGAGTTAGCCCAACACTGTGAGCAGTGTAGTGAGAAGACCTACTGGAGTGTTATAGGTGGACGCCAGGTATATTAACGAGCGACTCAGTAGAGGTTTTCCATGTGTTACTGTATCTTTAGGGTCTCCTGAAGCTAGTTAACACCAGGTTATAACCCATATATATATATATATATATATATATATATATATATATAAACACAGTTCGTTCTGCAAACTGGTGTTCACGTGATTGTGTTAAGTGTACTGTACAGACGCTGGTCACCGGTGGAGGTGCCACATAAAGTGACCACCCAGCTTTGAGAGATCTTAACTTTTTATCAACTAAAAAAACAAGAACGATCGGGTACCACAACAAACAAATGTACACGAAAACACACTTACCTACACAAACATACACACGCAACTATAAAAAAATATATAATGATTTGTCTATAGGAAGGTCCCGCCAATTTAGGGCTACAAAGATCTAGTTACAGATATACAGTTGTTAATGTATTTATATGTTCACGGCTAAAGAGCATGGATGTTTATGTAACCGGGGCCGGCTATGTAGACTACCTCGTTATTCAACCAGTGACGGCTGAAAAAGAATTGCAACTTACCTAACACTGGGGCATCATGGACTACTCCTGTTGTATCACATTAATTAGTAATAATGCTGATGATAAGGAGCACAGATGGGGCTCTTCCTTTTCATCCTTTGTTAAACACCAAGACACTTCTTAAACCATGAGTACTGATGGATGATTTCTATCTTCTTTATCGACAACTATTGTCTTGATTACGATGATAGGATGACACATATTTGATTTATTTCTTATTGGATGATGTTCCCTAACGAAGTAACCTAAACGGAAGCTAGATTTGGTTTAGCTCACCATGGAGTTCACGAGTCAACCCTGGGCGTCATTCAGCGACGTGGGTTTGGCCAACACAACACTGGTCAAGATAGGATAGGTACGTCTCCCGCTGTTGGTTGGATTATGCGAGTCAGGTTTTACGACAAATCAGTGGGATATAATTATACTACTAATACTGGCCCTAACCGGATACACAGTAAATCACATATGACTTTGATAGGATTCGAACCCTTGACCAATGGACTCCCAACCCAGTGCAATAACTATTCCACCATCGTCCCCACAACTTTTTTGAAGTAGTCATATGTGGTGGTTAAGGTAGGAAAATATTAAGCCTCGTGGTAAAGATTTCATCAGGGTCTACATGAGAACATAAGTCTAGTCTAAACAATCAGCAGTGAAGTATAATGCACCGTAATGGGAGTACAGTATACCCCATCACAAACACGGAAGAGAGGCAAGTTGTATAGCTGATACAGTAGGACTCGTAAAATTATACTCGAGGCTCTGTGAGAACCTCCCATTTCTTTTAAGCTTTCCAAGGTGGTTGCAAGAAATGCATTTAATTTAATACATCCATTAACTTTTCCTTTACCCTACAGGTTCTGTTCTTCGCCTTTGCTGTGGGCGTGACTGTCGCCTTTAGGCGCTTCAACGTACCCATTCCCTATGGTGCAAGATATAATGGTGGTGGTGTTGGTGTTGTCGGCGGCGGCGGCGGTGGTGGTGGTGATAGCGGCTACGGCGGAGTAGGTGGGGGATTCGGCGGAATTGGTGGGGGATTCGGCAGAGGTGGTGGTGGATTCAGCGGCGGATTCGGCGGAGATGGTGGTGGCTTCGGCGGAGGTCGTGGCGGCGGCATCGGAGGTGATGACAACGGCGTCTGTACGGGCGGTACCGTACTGAAGATTGACGGAACTTGCGAGCATCCTATACACACTCAACGTGTGTTCATATTTGCCGCGCCTGAACAACCACAACAGTTCGTCCCTCCCCCAATCCTACCCCCGCCCCGAATGGACACAAATGTACTTATCCTCCGCGCTCCTGAACCGGTTCAACAGCCTGATCCCATCATCCTATCACCCCCAAGACAGGAGAGCGTGGTGTACGTCTTGAATAAACAGGAGGAGCAGAAACAAAAAGTTATCGAGGTCCCTGAACAAGAACCTCACGAGCCCCAAGTATTTTTCATTAACTACGGTGAAGGCGACAATACGATTCTGCATGGGGGTATCAGCCTTAACTCTGTTGTCGAATCCTCAGTATACTCTCATGACGAGCTCATTGATGGCGATTTAGGTGGAAATTTTATTTTAGGCGGAAACGGTGATTTTAGTAGAACGCAGGGTGGCTTTGGTGGCCACATCAGTTCTGACCGTGCCGGCCTTCGCAATGGATTTGCCAGGTTTGGTAGCGCTGGTGGCGGTGATTTAGGTTCCTTTCGTACTGTTGATAACGGTGGCGGTTTTGCATTCGGAAAAAGACTTGTTCGTGAAGCTCCGATCGCGAGTGCCCTACATGATGGTGTTGACAGAGATATCTTCTTGAACAGTAGGGTTGGTGACGGAGGAGGAGGCCTGGGACCACAAATTGAAGTTGGCGGAAGTTTCGCTCCGGCTAACGCCATCTCTCCACCAATATAGGATTCACTCTAAAAGCTAAATCATCCCCGTCATGACAAATCTGACGGCCCAAATGTTTTGAGGATGTTATATAAATAATGTTAGTAGATCTATTTTTGTACAATAGAAATAGCTTAAACGGCCTCTTCTAGTCAGGCAGATTTGTTAAATATTTATCAATTGCAAATACATCTTATATCAGAATCAAAATTTCAGTAACCCCCCTTTAATGTGTCAGGTTGAACAGGTAATCAAGAAAGAATCGCACAGCAAATGTAGAAATTTCTTCGACTTCAAGGCAAAAATATCACAATTATATATTAAAACGAATGACTGAACAGCTGATTTAAAATTTTAGTTTTTCCTGCCGATATGAAAGCTCGTTAGCTTCCGTCTTCTTATTGTCTTTTGATATTTTCATTTGCATATTTTCCTGCGACTTGAACACTTTACCTTCACCCATGCCTCCTACATGTAACCACGAGAAGTAATTCGTCAATTTAATCACGAAAACTTAACCATTTCAAATTAGTTTCACATGTTAGAGGGTCACATCAAGGGGATGAGTGTTGACAAGATATTGTTTTCTAGAATGTGTGTGTGTGTGTGTGTGTGTGTGTGTGTGTGTGTGTGTGTGTGTGTGTGTGTGTGTGTCTCCTACATACAGCCACAAATTCCTGTGCCTTCTCAGACTTACAATTTTCTCTTTTTTTTGTCAGGTTCACCGTGTTTCCGAGTCTCGTTACCGTTAACATCCTTCTTCCCAGTTACAGGTTTATAGTAACGGTGAAATCACGATCGGGGTTAAAAACAGTGTTTAAAGGGAAGATTTTCACCACCGCCACTTGAGACATCAGACAACTGTACAACTAGACTGAAGACCCTTAGGTTATCCTACACTTAAGTTAGGGGAAAAATCTAATAGTGTACATGTGTGTTAATTCTCAAGAGACGATTAATAAGTACCCACGCTCAGTGATTCAAATCTTACAAGGCTGCCGCTGGTAATAGGCAAGTTAAGCTGTCGCCAGTTAGTCAATTGTCCACCATAGTATAATGAACAGTTCAGCATTTTTAACAATTTTGAAGTGATAATTAAAGATATTCTTGTATCAGGCTTCCACCACCTGCGTTAGCCAACGCTGTGAGTGGTATATATGGCTGTCCCAAGGTTAGTCAAACATCACTGACAACCCCATAAACTAATTTTGGGGCACCCTGTACACTTCCTTCTGCTAATTTTACAACCTTATACTTATTTTTATTTTATTTTTTAGAGAATATTCAACCAAAAAGATATGTTTAAAAATGTTTCCAAATCTGCCAACAGAAGAAATATTTGAAATCAAAGGGCCATTCTTGGGGTAACGGCTATGAGCGGGTGGTGTGATCGTTGCCTCATAAACCTTACCTAACACTGGGGCATCATGGACTACTCCTGTTGTATCACATTAATTAGTAATAATGTTGAAGATAAGGAGCACAGATGGGGCTCTTCCTTTTCACCCTTTGTTAAACACCAAGACACTTCTTAAACCATGAGTACTGGAGGATGATTTCTATCTTCTTTATTGACACCACTTATCGTATTACGATGTTAGGATGACTTATATTTGAGTTATTTCTTGTTGGATGAGGTTCCCTAACGATGTAACCTAAACGGAAGCTAGATTTGGTTTTGCTCAGCATGGAATTCACGTGTCTACCCTGGGCGTCATTCAGTGACGTGGGTTTGGCCAACACAACACTGGTCGACACAGGATAGGTACGTCTCCCGCTGTTAGTTGGATTATGCGAGTCAGGTTTTTACGACAAATCAGTGGAATATAATTATACTACTAATACTGGCCCTAACCGGATATACAGTAAATCACATATGACCTTGATTGGGATTCGAACCCTTGGCCAATGGACTCCCAACCCAGTACGACAATTGTTCTGCCAACGTCCACACAATTTTAAGAAGTACAGTCACTTTAAGGTAAGAAACTTAAACGTTTCAAGCGCGTTGTATGAGATACATTTCGAATTAATAAATCCATTAATATTTCCCTTGTCCTTCAGGTTCTGTTCTTCGCCTTTGCGGTTGGCTTCACCTTCGCCTCAAGGGGATACAACGTACCCATTCCCTATGGTGGCGGTGGCCATGGTGGGCGTGGCGGTGGCCATGGTGGGCGTGGCGGTGGCCATGGTGGGCGTGGCGGTGGTGGCAGTGGCCGTGGTCGTGGTGGTGGTGGTGGTGGTTACAGCGGCGGCGGCAGTGGCGGCAGCCACAGCGTCTGCACGGGCGGTACCGTGCTGAAGGTTGACGGGACCTGCGTACATCCTGTACGTACTCAACGTGTGTTCGTATTTGCCGCGCCTGAACAACCACAACAGTTCGCCCCGCCCCCAATCATCCCTCAACCCAGAGTGGACACAAATATACTTATCCTCCGCGCCCCTGAACCGGTTGAGCAGCCTGATCCCATCATCTTAACACCACCAAGGATGGAGAACATCGTTTACGTCTTGAATAAACAGGAGAAGCACAGACAAGAAATCATCGAACTCCCTCAACAAGAACACCAAGAACCTCAAGTATTTTTCATTAACTACGATGAAAGCGAACATTCGAGTCTGCATGGGGGTCCCCGCCATAACTCTCATTTCAAAAATTCAGTTCACTCTGGGGACGAGCTCGTTCATGGTCACGGAGGTGGAAATTATATATGAGGCGGAAACAGTGATTTTCGTAAAACGCGGGTTGCTTTGGTGGCTCTAACTGATCTGGCAGTGTCGGCCTTAACAATGGATTTGCCAGTGTTGGTAACGTTGGTGGCAGTAGTTTTGGTTCCTTCAGCACTGCTGGTATTGTTGGTGACGCTGGCGGTTTTGTATACGGAGATAGACTTGTTGGTCAAGCTCCGATCGCGAGTGTCCTACAGTGTTGACGGATATATCTTCTTGAACAGTGGGGTTGGTGATGGAAGTGTTTTGAGGATGTTTTTTAATGCTGTTTTTGTATTGTAGAAATAGCTTAAACGGCTTCCTCTACTCAGGCAGATTTATTTTGTTAAATATTTATCAATTGCAAATACATCTTATATCCGAATATAAATTTCAGTAACCTTTTAAAATGTCGGCTTAAAAGGGTAATTAAGAATGAATCACATACTGCAAATACAGAAATATCTTCGATTTCAAAACAGTGTCACAAACAATTATATACTAAAGCGGAAAATTCTGAAGTTTGTTTACAATTTTAGTTTTTTCCTGCCGATATGAAAGCTCGCTAGCTTCCGTGTTCTTATTGTTTTTGGATATTTCAATTTCTATATTTTCCTGCGACTTGAGATGTGACCACCAAAATTCGAAACGTCATATAACCTCCAACTCTTTACCTCCAAACATGTCTCTTATATATGACCACGAGAAGTAAGTCTTAAATTTAATCACGATCACTTAACCATTTCAAATTACTTCCACATGTTAAAGCCTGAATATCTTAAAACATCGGTTCATTAAAACAAAAGTCTTCTCAGATTCACAATTTTCTCTTGTGTTTATCATGTTCACATCAATAAGAGTATGACGCCAGGTTCACCGTGTTCCCGAGTTTCGTTACCATTAACTCCCTCTTGCCTTGTTACAGGTTCATATTAACGGTGAAATCGCGATCGGGGTTACAGACAATGTTCTTGGTGTCTTAGTAAACAAAACTCACAAAACAAGAAATCATATAATATTCAGCTTAACTTATATATTAACAGCGGCAGCCTTGAAATTTTTTAGTTATAAAGGAAGCTTGATAGTATATAAAAGAAATGAATTATTGAATTAATAGCAGTGGAAGACTTAAGGCAATGAGTAGAACAGTTTATTTTATCAATTTATTCACACTATAACAATTATGACCTGAAGAATATACCTAACTCGAACCTCTTGGGCATGATGACCTAACCTAATGAGTACGAGCAATTAATCCTTTGAATGTGATGATTTATTGCCTTGATTACGATGTCTTGTTCCTCTGAACAAGATGACCTGAACTTACGACTAAGATAACACGTACTCTAGAGGTTAAGTTATCATCCTCATAAAGTTAAGATTTCGCCAGAGAGTGCACAGAAATTGCCCATCGTCACTGAGCCTGGGAACGTGTTACTCGTCTTTCGAAAATTAAAATACACGATTAGAATATTCTTTACCTAACATAGGTTTAGTGTAACTTGAGGGTCGTCAGTCCAAGTTTATAGTAGTCTGATGCCTAAGTGGTGGGGAAGTTCTTACTTGTAAACTCACTGAATTAACTAAACATCATGATTTCAGTTTACGTTATAGCCAATTACAGTCAAATGTCCACTATAGTGTAATGTATATTATGCTTCTACCACCTGGGTTATTCTCACTGATTATCCAGTGTTGGCTATAGTTAGCCCAACACTGCGAGTAGTATACATGGCTGTCCCAAAGTTAGTCACATATCACTGAAAAACCCATAAACTAATTTTGGGGCACCCTGTACAGTAGCTAAAACAAATCTCTGTGCATACTTTGTGGAAAACAATATGGACCATGGGTGATACATTTTGGTGTATGAGGGCTGTCACTTGTAAACACGTAACATTTCGGAGCATATCGACCTCCCACCTGCACAGATAGTTGTTTTAGCTCCTGTTCCCTTCCCTCTAGTAATTTTACGTGTTTATACTTTTATTTTTTTTAAAGGGAAAATATTCAACCAAAAAGATATATGTTTAATAAAGTTTCCAAAACTGTTAAAACAAGAAATGGTGGAGTCAAACGGCCATTCTTGGGGTAACGGCTATGAGCGGGTGGTGTGATCGTTGCCTCATAAACCTTACCTAACACTGGGGCATCATGGACTACTCCTGTTGTATCACATTAATTAGTAATAATGTTGAAGATAAGGAGCACAGATGGGGCTCTTCCTTTTCACCCTTTGTTAAACACCAAGACACTTCTTAAACCATGAGTACTGGAGGATGATTTCTATCTTCTTTATCGACAACTATTGTCTTGATTACGATGTTAGGATGACACATATTTGATTTATTTCTTATTGGATGATGTTCCCCAACGATGTAACCTAAACGCAAGCTAGATTTGGTTTAGCTCAGCATGGAATTCAATAGTCAACCCTGGGCGTCATTCAGCGACGTGGGTTTGGCCAACACAACACTGGTCGAGATAGGATAGGTACGTCTCCCGCTGTTGGTTGGATTATGCGAGTCAGGTTTTACGACAAATCGGTGGGATATAATTATACTACTAATATTGGCCCTAACCGGATATACAGTAAATCACATTTGACGTTCATAGGGATTCGAACCATTGACCAAAGGACTCCTAACCCAGTGCAATAACTATTCTGCCATCGTCCCCACAATTTTTATGGATTAAAGACTTACGAGGTTTAAGGTAGGAAAATTAATCGTTGTGGTAAAGAGGTTGAAGGGCTAGAGCTGTACGAGATATCAGGGTCTACATGAGAACATCAATCTTCTCTAAACAATCAGCAGTGAAGTATAATGGGGGTACAGTATACCCCATCACAAACACGGAAGAGAGGCAAGTTGTATAGCTGATACAGTGGGACTCGTAAAATTATTATTTTCTAAACGATGAAGAATGATTTATACACGACTACTTATTGTGTCCTGAACAAAGGGTTTGGGACTTGCTGAACACTGATCGGTTATAAAAGCACTGCTTCATATACTCAAGGCTCCGTGAGAACCTCCCATTTCTTCTAAGGATTCCAAAGGCATCGTGAGATGTGAAGTTCATATTAATTACATCCATTAACATTTCCTTTTCCCTACAGGTTCTGTACTTCGCCTTTGCTGTGGGCGTGACTGTCGCCTTTAGGGACTACAACGTACCCATTCCCTATGGTGCAAGATATAATGGTGGTGGACATGGCCGTGGACGTGGCCGTGGTGTTGGCCGTATTCGTGGCTATGGTGGTGGACATGGCGGTGTCCGTGGCCGTGTCCGTGGCCGTGGCAGTGTTCGTGGCCATGGTGGTGGTGGTGGTGGCGGCTTCGGAGGTGGCGGCTTCGGAGGTGGCGGCTTTGGAGGTGGCGGCTTCGGAGGTGGCGGATTCGGAGGTGGCGGATTCGGAGGTGCCGGCTTCGGAAGTGGCGGCTTCGGAGGTGGCGGCTTCGGAGATGGCGGCTTAGCCGATGGCAGCTTCGGAAGTGGCGGATTCGGCGGTGGTGGCTTCGCCGGTGGCGTCTTCGGCGGTAGTGGAGGCAGCTTCGGCGGTCGTGGCGGCGGCTTCAGCGGTGGAAATGGCTTCAACGGTGGTGGTGGCGGCGGCTTCGGCGGTGGTGGTAACGGCGGCTTCCGTGGTGCTGGCGGCGTCGGCGGCTTCAGTGGTGCTGGCGGCGTCGGCTTCGGCGGCTTCAGCGGTGCTGGCGACGTCGGTTTCGGCGGTGCTAGCGGCGTTGGCTTCGGCGGTGCTGGCGGCGTCGGCTTCGGCGGTGGTGGCGACGGCTTCGGAGGTAATGGCGACCGCCTCTGTACGGGCGGCACCGTGCTGAAGGTTGACGGCACGTGTGAACATCCTATACGTACTGAACGTGTGTACGTATTTGACGCGCCTGAAGAATCAAGAGAGTTCATCCCGCCCCCAGTCATCCCTCCGGCCCGAGTGGATACGAATGTACTAATCCTCCACGCCCCTGATAAGGTTGAACAGCCTGGACTCATCCTCGCATCACCGCCAAGGCAGGAGAACGTCGTGTACGTCTTGAACAAACAGGAGGAGCGGAAACAAGAAGTCATCGAGGTCCCTAAACCGAAACTCGTTAATCAAGCAATATATTTCGTTAACTTCGGTGAAGGCGAAAATACGATTCTGCATGGGGGTATCAGCCTTACATCTAATCACAAAAATTCAGTTTTCTCTGGGGACGAGCTCATCGATGGTGACTTAGGTGGAAACTTTATTTTAGGCGGAAACGGTAATTTTAGTGGAACGCGGGGTGGCTTTGGTGGCTCAAGCTGATCTGGCAGTGTCGGCCTTAACACTGGACTTGCCAGTTAGGGTAACGTTTGTAGCGGTAATTTTGGTTCCTTCAGTACTGCTGGTATTGTTGGCGACGCTGGCGGTTTTGTATACCGCGGCAGACTTATTGGTCAAGCTTTGATCGCGAGTGTCCTCCATGGTATTGTTGAAGGATATATCTTCCCAAATAGTGGGATAGTGGAGGAGGCCTAGGACCACAACTTGGAGCTGGCGGAAATGTTTCGAAGAAGTGTTTGAACGCTGCTAGTAGATCTATTTTTGTTTTGTAGAAATAGTTAAAACGACCTCTTCTAGTCAGCCTGATTTGTTTTGTTAAATGTCTACCAAGTGTAAATACATTTTATATCGAAATAAAAATTTCAGTAACCTTTCTAATGTGTCAGGTTGAAAAGGTAATTAAGAATGACTCACATATAGCAAATACAGAAATATCTTCGACTTAAAAATATGACAAACAAGTATATACTAAAACGTTAAAGTCAGATGTCGGTTTAAAATTTTATAGTTTTTTCCTGCCGATATGAAAGTTCTCTAGCTTCCATGTTCTTAATGTGTTTCGATATTTTCATTTCTATATTTTCCTGCGACTTGAGATTTGACCTTTTTCTCCTTAACGATTTACCTCCAAACATGCCTCTTACATGTAACCACGAGAAATAATTCTTAAATTTAATCACGATCACTTAACTATTACAAATTATTTCCACGTGTTATTGGGTCATATCAAGAAGTTTAATGTTGACAAAATATTGTTTCTGGAATGTGTGTGTGTGTGTGTGTGTGTGTGTGTGTGTGTGTGTGTGTGTGTGTGTGTGTGTGTGTGTGCGTGCGTGTGTGTGTGTGCCCTACAGCCAGCCACGAATTCCTGTGCCTTCTCTACTTTATAAAGCCTGAATATAAAAATATCGGGCTTAACAAAACCAAAGCCTTCTCAGATTCACAATTTTCTCTTTCACATCATTAAGAGTGACGCCAGGTTCACCGTGTTACCGAGTCTCGTCACCGTTAACATCCTTCTTCCCAGTTACAGGTTTATAGTAACGGTGAAATCACGATCGGGGTTAAAGACAGTGTTTAAAGGGAAGATTTTCACCACCACCACTTGAGACATCAGACAACTGTACACTTAGGCTGAAGACCCTTGGGTTATACTACACTTAAGTTAGGGGAAAAAATCTAACAGTGTACAGTGTGTTAATTCTCAACAGACGATTGATACGTACCCTGGCTCAGTGCCGACAGGCAATTCCTGCACACTCTCTGGTGAACTCTTCTCCTTATGAGGAAGTTAACTTAACCCCTCGAGTACCTGTCATCTTAGTCATGAGTTCAGGTCATCTTGTTCAGAGGGACAAGACATCGTAATCAAGAAACTAAGTCATCATATTCAAAGGATTACTTGCTCGTACTCAATAGTTAGGTCATCATGCCCAAGAGGTTCGAGTTAGGTATATTCTTCAGGTCATCATTGTTACAGTGTGAATAAATGGATATGATAAACTGTACCATTCTTTAACTCAAGTATTGTACTGATATTAATTCATTACTTACATTTAATTTTACAAACAACCAAGATTCATCTACAATTCAAATTTTACAAGGCTACCGCTGGTAAGAGCTAAGTTAGCTGTCGCCAGTTACAGTCAATTGTCCACCGTAGTATAATAACAGTTCAGCAATTTTAACAATTTAGAAGTGATAATTAAAGTTATTCTTTATTAGGCTTCCACCACCGGGGTTCTTCGCATCCATTATTGTTATAAGTTATTCCAACGCTGTGAGTGGTATATATGGCTGTCCCAAGGTTAGTCACACATCACTAACAACCCCATAAACTAATTTTGGGGCACCCTGTACATATCCCTCTGGTGACTTTACATATGTTTATTCATATTTTCCTTTCATTTTATTAGAGAATATACAACCAAAAAGATACATGTTTAACAACATTTCCAAAATTACCGACAGAAGAAATGGTGGTAATCAAAGGGCCATTCTTGGGGTAACGGCTATGAGCGGGTGGTGTGATCGTTGCCTCATAAACCTTACCTAACACTGGGGCATCATGGACTACTCCTGTTGTATCACATTAATTAGTAATAATGTTGAAGATAAGGAGCACAGATGGGGCTCTTCCTTTTCATCCTTTGTTAAACACCAAGACACTTCTTAAACCATGAGTACTGATGGATGATTTCTATCTTCTTTATCGACAACTATTGTCTTGATTACGATGTTAGGATGACACATATTTGATTTATTTCTTATTGGATGATGTTCCCCAACGATGTAACCTAAACGGAAGCTAGATTTGGTTTAGCTCAGCATGGAATTCACGAGTCTACCCTGGGAGTCATTCAGCGACGTGGGTTTGGCCAACATAACACTGGTCGAGATAGGATAGGTACGTCTCCCGCTGATAGTTGGATTATGCGAGTCAGGTTTTTACGACAAATCAGTGGAATATAACTATACTACTAATACTGGCCCTACCCGGATATACAGTAAATCACATATGACCTTGATTGGGAATCGAACCCTTGGCCAATGGACTCCCAACCCAGTACGACAATTGTTCTGCCAACGTCCACACAATTTTAAGAAGTACAGTCACTTTAAGGTAAGAAACTTAAACGTTTCAAGCGCTTTGTATGAGATACATTTCGAATTAATAAATCCATTAATATTTCCCTTGTCCTACAGGTTCTGTTCTTCGCCTTTGCGGTTGGCTTCACCTTCGCCTCAAGGGGATACAACGTACCCATTCCCTATGGTGGCGGTGGCCATGGTGGGCGTGGCGGTGGCCATGGTGGGCGTGGCGGTGGCCATGGTGGGCGTGGCCGTGGTGGTGGTGGTTACAGCGGCGGCGGCTTCGGCAGTGGCGGCAGCCACGGCGTCTGCACGGGCGGTACCGTGCTGGAGGTTGACGGGACCTGCGTACATCCTGTACGTACTCAACGTGTGTTCGTATTTGCCGCGCCTGAACAACCACAACAGTTCGCCCCGCCCCCAATCATCCCTCAACCCAGAGTGGACACAAATATACTTATCCTCCGCGCCCCTGAACCGGTTGAGCAGCCTGATCCCATCATCTTAACACCACCAAGGATGGAGAACATCGTTTACGTCTTGAATAAACAGGAGGAGCACAGACAAGAAATCATCGAACTCCCTCAACAAGAACACCAAGAACCTCAAGTATTTTTCATTAACTACGATGAAAGCGAACATTCGAGTCTGCATGGGGGTCCCCGCCATAACTCTTATTTCAAAAATTCAGTTCACTCTAGGGACGAGCTCGTTCATGGTCACGGAGGTGGAATTTATATATGAGGCGGAAACAGTGATTTTCGTAAAACGCGGGTTGCTTTGGTGGCTCTAACTGATCTGGCAGTGTCGGCCTTAACAATGGATTTGCCAGTGTTGGTAACGTTGGTGGCAGTAGTTTTGGTTCCTTCAGCACTGCTGGTATTGTTGGTGACGCTGGCGGTTTTGTATAAGGAGATAGACTTGTTGGTCAAGCTCCGATCGCGAGTGTCCCATATCGGGGCCTGGGGTGCGAAAAAAAAATACAGAAATGTTTTAGTTTTAAACAAATGAAGAGTGAGAAATGAAATATACAGTATGTCGTGTTGTTAAAATAGGAGAGTCAATTGAGGCCCGAAATTGTTTGTAAATGATGCTGAAAATTTTATCAGAAACCTGGGACTTGGTTAAAAAAATGTGATGCCATCCGGCAGCAGGATCTACCATTAGACAACACATTATACTTGATACGTGGTGGTGTTGACGGAGATATCTTCTTGGACAGTGGGGTTGACAGTGGAGGAGGCCTGGGATCACTACTTGGAGCTGGTGGAAGTGTTTTGAGGATGTTTTTTTTTAATTGTGTTAGATCTATTTTTGTATTGTACAAATAACTTAAACGGCTTCTTCTATTAACGCACAGTTATTTTGCTAAATATTTATTAACTGCAAATACATCATATATCCGAATATAAATTTCAGTAACCTTCTTTTAATGTGTATGTCGTACATCCAGCCACAAGCTCCCCCACGCCTTCTTTACTTCATAATGCCTTTTTATCTTAAAATATCGGGCTTAACAAAATCCAAGCCTTTTCTGATTCATATATCCCTCCTTTTCTTCCCAGTGTGACGCCAGGCTCATGGTGTCACCAAGTCGCGCTACCATTAACTCCCTCCTCCTTAGTTACAGGTTTATAGTAACAGTGAAATCACGGTCGGGGTCACAGACAATGTTCTTGGTGTCTTAGTAAACGAAACTGACAAAAAAAAATCATATAATATTTAGCTTAATTTACATATTACCAGCGGCAGCCTTGTAAAATTTGAGTTGAAATGAAGCTTGATAGCATGTAAAATAAATGTAAGTACTAAATTAATAGTAGTCGAAGACTTAAGGTAATGAGTGGTACAGTTTATCTTATCAATTTATTCACACTGAAACAATGATGACCTGAAGAATATACCTAACTCGAACCTCTTGGGCATGATGACCTAACCTAATGAGTACGAGCAATTAATCCCTTGAATGTGATGATTTATTGCCTTGATTACGATGTCTTGTTCCTCTGAACAAGATGACCGGAACTTATGACTAAGATAACACGTACTTGAGAGGTTAAGAAAACACGTACTTGAGAGGTTAAGATCTTGCCAGTGAGTGTACAGGAATTGCCTGTCGTCACTGAGAATGGGTACGTGTTACTTCTCTATAAAGAATTAACACACTGCACACTATGGTGAAGTACTTCCCTTTAAACTCACAGTGATAATATAAACGATGGTGAAGAGTTTGTGAAGGTAATTTTTTTTATGAATTATTGACTTTAATTATATTAGTCATCACGTCACTCATGATTTCAGTTTACGTTATAGCCAATTACAGTCAAATGTCCACTATAGTGTAATGTATATTATGCTTATACCACCTGGGTTATTCTCACTGATTATCCAGTGTTGGCTATAGTTAGCCCAACACTGCGAGTAGTATATATGGCTGTCCCAAAGTTAGTCACATATCACTGAAAAACCCAAAACTAATTTTTGAGGCACCCTGTACAGTCGAGGCCAAAAGTTCGCTCCCTCCCAAAACGAAGCAGCATCGACCCCCAAATGAAATGAAACAGTCAGGGTAAGTCAGTGCGGAGACTCATACCCATGACTCAGTTTCACCACAGGGAGTGAACTTCTGTCCCTGACTGTACATATCCCTCTGGTGCTTTTATATTTGTTAATACTTATTATTCTTTCATTTTATTATTGAATATTCAACCAAAACGATACATGTTTAACATAGTTTCCAAAACTACTCACACAAGAAATGGTGGTAATCAAACGGCCATTCTTGGGGTAACGGCTATGAGCGGGTGGTGTGATCGTTGCCTCATAAACCTTACCTAACACTGGGGCATCATGCACTACTCCTGTAGTATCACATTAATTAGTAATAATGTTGAAGATAAAGAGCACAGATGGGGCTCTTCCTTTTCATCCTTTGTTAAACACCAAGACACTTCTTAAACCATGAGTACTGATGGATGATTTCTATCTTCTTTATCGACAACTCGTCCTGATTACAATGTTAGGATGACACATATTTGATTTATTTCTTATTGGATGATGTTCCCTAACGATGTAACCTAAACGCAAGCTAGATTTGGTTTAGCTCAGCATGGAATTCAATAGTCAACCCTGGGCGTCATTCAGCGACGTGGGTTTGGCCAACACAACACTGGTCGAGATAGGATAGGTACGTCTCCCGCTGTTAGTTGGATTATGCGAGTCAGGTTTTACGACAAATCAGTGGAATATAATTATACTACTAATACTGGCCCTACCCGGATATACAGTAAATCACATATGACCTCGATTGGGATTCGAACCCTTGACCAACGGACTCCCAACCCAGTGCAATAACTCCCCACAATTTTTATGGATTAAAGACTTACGAGGTTTAAGGTAGGAAAATTAATCGTTGTGGTAAAGAGGTTGAAGGGCTAGAGCTGTACGAGATATCAGGGTTCTATGATGTGAGGTTGAACACCCTAAAAATAATCGCAGTGAAGACACGTACTGTAATGGGGTACAGTATCGAAGCAAACACGGAAGAGAGGCAAGTTGTATAGCTGATACAGTGGGACTCGTAAAATTATTATTTTCTAAACGATGAAGAATGATTTATACACGACTACTTATTGTGTCCTGAACAAAGGGTTTGGGACTTGCTGAACACTGATCGGTTATAAAAGCACTGCTTCATATACTCAAGGCTCCGTGAGAACCTCCCATTTCTTCTAAGGATTCCAAAGGCATCGTGAGATGTGAAGTTCATATTAATTACATCCATTAACATTTCCTTTTCCCTACAGGTTCTGTACTTCGCCTTTGCTGTGGGCGTGACTGTCGCCTTTAGGGACTACAACGTACCCATTCCCTATGGTGCAAGATATAATGGTGGTGGACATGGCCGTGGCCGTGGTGTTGGCCGTATTCGTGGCTATGGTGGTGGACATGGCGGTGGCCGTGTCCGTGTCCGTGGCCGTGGCAGTGTTCGTGGCCATGGTGGTAGTAGCGGCTTCGGAAGAAGCGGCTTCGGAGGAAGCGGCTTCGGAGGAAGCGGCTTCGGAGGAAGCGGCTTCGGTGGCGGTTTCGGCAGCGGCGGTTTCGGCGGCGGTGGCTTCGGCGGCGACGGCGGCTTCGGCGGTGGCAGCTTCGGAGGTGATGTTGGCAGCTTCGGCGGTGGTGGTGGCGGCTTCAGCGTTGGTGGTGGCGGCTTCAGCGTTGGTGGTGGCGGCTTCCGCGGTGGCTTCGGAGGTAATGGCGGCCGCCTCTGTACGGGCGGCACCGTGCTGAAGGTTGACGGCACGTGTGTGCATCCTATACGTACTGAACGTGTGTACGTATTTGACGCGCCTAAAGAACCAAGAGAGTTCATCCCGCCCCCAGTCATCCCTCCGGCCCGAGTGGATACGAATGTACTAATCCTCCACGCCCCTGATAAGGTTGAACAGCCTGGACTCATCCTCGTATCACCGCCAAGGCAGGAGAACGTCGTGTACGTCTTGAACAAACAGGAGGAGCGGAAACAAGAAGTCATCGAGGTCCCTAAACCGAAACTCGTTAATCAAAAAATATATTTCGTTAACTACGGTGAAGGCGACAATACGATTCTGCATGGGGGTATCAGCCTTACATCTACTCTCGAAAATTCAGTTTACTCCTTGGACGAGCTCATCGATGGTGACTTAGGTGGAAACTTTATTTTAGGCGAAAACGGTGATTTTAGTGGAACGCAGGGTGGCTTTGGTGGCTCAACCTCATCTGGCAGTGTCGGCCTTAACACTGGACTTGCCAGTTAGGGTAACGTTTGTGGGGGTAGTTTTGGTTCCTTCAGTACTGCTGGTATTGTTGGTGACGCTGGCGGTTTTGTATACGGAGATAGACTTGTTAGTTAAGCTTCGATCGCGAGTGCCCAACCTGGTGGTGTAGAGGAGGCCTGGGACCGCAACTTGGAGCTGGTGGAAGTGTTTTGAGTATTTTATTTTTAATGATGTTTGTAGATATATTTTCTTATGGTAGAAACAGCCTATTCTAGTCAGGCAGATTTGTTTGTTAAACATTTATGAATTGTAAATACATTTCATATCTGAATCTAAATTTCAGTAACCTCATTTTAATGTGTTATGTTGAAAGGGTAATTAAGAAAAAATCACATGCAGGAAATACAGAAATATCTTCGATTTAAAAATATCACAAACACTTATATACTAAAACGGAAAGATTCAGATGTTGGTTTAAAAAATATTCCTGCCGATATGAAAGTTCTCTAGCTTCCATGTTCTTATTGTGTTTTGATATTTTCATTTCTATATTTTCCTGCGACTTGAGATGTGACCTCCTTCTTAACATTTTACCTCCAAACATGCCTGTTACATGTAACCACGAGAAGTAATTCTTAAATTTAATCACGAACACTTAACTATTTCAAATTATTTCCACGTGTTACTGGGTCATATCAAGGGGTTTAGTGTTTCCAAGATATTGTTTCTGGAGTGTGTGAGTGTGTGTGTGTATGTGTGTGTGTGTGTGTGTGCAAAAGTGTACAGTATTTTTATGGGCCTAAAAATCATTATCATGCTAACTTTGAACACTTGAACTTAAAAAAATAAAAATCGTGTGTCAAGTACATATACAGTATGTAATCCATCAACCCACATACATACAACCCACAATATAATAGATCATTGGTTTAGTGTTGGTTTGAAACTGAATTTTAGGTCCACATTGTACACCTCTTACTTACACACATAACAAACACGACAGTAGTTCCATAAACAGCTCCTGGTAACTTTGCATCCTTTAATGTATTATGAACCCTTAAAACTATACGTACACAAATTTATAAAAAATACATAAAAAATATAAATAATTTGGATGTACTGTTCGTGGTAGAGTAATACAGTATTATAAACATTGACCACTTTCCAACCTAACCCCTAGTTAATCCAAAGAAAACGTGTTAGGCAAAATGAATATTCCAGGGCTAACTCTTATATTCTGTAAAATGGCAACACGGGGAGAGCTCCTGGTGAGAAACTGTTCCAAACTTAAATGTCTTCTTTTTCTTACTTTTATACTCTTATATCCTGTAAGGCAGTGTATAATATCTTCACATGTCTAAATAACGATACAGCTAATTGCCTGAGGAGATATTACGCTACTATATGTAAGATCTTCAAATGTGTTGCTGACGTGCTATAATACTCTCTCGCATCACAGTGTTCTTTTTTTTTTTAATCAATGTGGGCTACCGTTTTTACTAACTCATCAAATGCTGCACCATCCATGCACAAGAAGTTCCTGTAATCTTTCGGCTCACTGATTCTTATATCTTTTCTCAAATTTTCATGGTTATATTGACGTCTTTTCATATACCATTGTTTCATCCACCGGTGGTTTTTCTTTCTATTTTTTCTGAACACAAGAAGATAATGTAATGGCTCTACATGTCATATCTGTGTCTGCCATGTTACCTCTATGAATGGGAATGTCGCATGGACAGATTACTGCATAATAGTGAGTCAATACATTGTCGGGGTCGTTTAAAAATACAGCAGGATATTATGGTGATCCTATGTATACGTTACTTCAGTACTTGATTCAGGTGCCTGTATTACCGCGTCTTCATTGGCTGGCTCTACAGTCAGGTGGTCTTATTAGATGAGTTTTATAATGGTTTTATTTCCGAGCCATAATTCCACCATGTTTATTCGCATAAAAATAATAGGATTTATGTTTTAAGGAAGGACTATGGTTCTTTACTCCTATTGCAACCGCTTGGACTTCCGGTAACAACTGAATGATATGGTGGTGCTTACTAGTGATGGTGCTTACTAATGGTGGTGCTTACTAGTGGTGGTACTTACTAATGGTGGTGCTTACTAGTGGTGGTACTTACTAATGGTGGTGCTTACTAGTGGTGGTGCTTACTAATGGTGGTACTTACTAGTGGTGGTACTTACTAGTGGTGGTGCTTACTAATGGTGGTTACTTACTAGTGGTGGTACTTACTAATGGTGGTGCTTACTAATGGTGGTGCTTACTAGTAGTGGTGCTTACTAATGGTGGTTACTTACTAGTGGTGGTACTTACTAATGGTGGTGCTTACTAATGGTGGTGCTTACTAGTGGTGGTACTTACTAGTGGTGGTACTTACTAATGGTGGTATTTACTAGTGGTGGTGCTACTAATGGTGGTTACTTAGTGGTACCTACTTACTAGTGGTGGTACCCACTAATGGTGGTGCTTACTAATGGTGGTACTTACTAGTGGTGGTGCTTACTAATGGTGGTATTGCAGGTGGTGGGTTACTAATGGTGGTGCTTACTAGTGGTGGTGCTTACTAATGGTGGTAATTACTAATGGTGGTGCTTACTAATGGTGGTGCTTACTAATGGTGGTATTTACTAGTGGTGGTACTTACTAATGGTGGTGCTTACTAATGGTGGTACTTACTAGTGGTGGTACTTACTAGTGGTGGTACTTACTAATGGTGGTACTTACTAATGGTGGTGCTTACTAGTGGTGGTGCTTACTAATGGTGGTACTTACTAATGGTGATGCTTACTAATGGTGGTGCTTACTAATGGTGGTGCTTACTAATGGTGGTGCTTACTAATGGTGGTACTTACTAGTGGTGGTACTTACTAATGGTGGTACTTACTAGTGATGGTACTTACTAGTGGTGGTGCTTACTAATGGTGGTGCTTACTAATGGTAGTACTTACTAATGGTGGTACTTACTAATGGTGGTGCTTACTAATGGTGGTATTTATTAATGGTGGCACTTACTAATTGTATGTATATTATGTATGCTGTATGTATATTATGTATGTGCTCCATTTATATACATTATTTATTCAGCCTAGCTAGCAGCGTGTGGCAATGTATTTACCATGTCCCACACGCTTAATTAATGTGCCTGGCAACATATGGAAACTGCTAATGTATCACTTGCCACATGTCGCCTGAAAGACTAGTTGACCCCCTAGACCAGGGGTTCTCAACCAGGGGGGAATTCCCCCCAGGGGGGGAATTCAGGTTTTCAGGGGGGGGGGGGGAAACTGATTCGGGAGCAAGAGATATGTTCGATGAGAAATCAATCACAGAATTTTGGCCCTTGATGTGCGATTCCTACCCAAAAGTGGCAGAAAGAGCTATCCGTGCATTGCTTCCGTTTGTGTCGACATATCTTTGTGAGTCAGGCTTTTCAACTCTGTTGCAAATTAAAACGAAGCAACGTAGTAGATTAGAGGTAGAAAATGACCTGCGTTGTGCCCTTTCAAGCACTCCTCCGCGTATCCCAGAATTGGCGAAGAAAAAACAATCACAGGTTTCTCATTGACTGTAATCTTCATCTGAATAAAATTAATTACAAATTTACAATATCCTGGTATTCTATTGAACTTTGTGTTTATTGCATTATGCTTCAGTTTGGTCTGTTAAGTAATTCAGTATAAATAAAAAAAAAACTATTTTACTTTTATTCAAGTTTTATAAATCCATCAACATTTTCAATTGGCATTTAATTTGTAAAACTCCACTATAAAAATAATCCATGTAAAATTGTAAATGTATATGTACTAATATGGAAAAAATAAAGGATTTTCAGTATTATATGCATATTATTTGGAATGCACTTTTTGAGACAGACAATCTTGGAAAGGAGGGGGGAATGACATTCTGACATATGGTGAAAGGGGTGCATGGGGCAAACAAGGTTGAGAACCACTGCCCTAGACAGAGTAAGGAGCGCCACCTCGCTTGTGTATCTCTGTTTATCCAGTAAATAGAACCTACGAAAACTCTACAGGTGTTTGTGTTCGCTCCCGTAGATAGAACTTGGTACCCAGAACATATACTGTACATGCCGCAGTGTGTTAATTAACTGGATCATTATACAAGTGAAGTGTAAAGTTTGTGGCAAGACCGGCTTATGGACCCCTGTTCTGTTGTCAACCGCTAATGGCCGTCTCCTCCAAGAATTTATAGCAACTTTGAGCAGTGTCAGTGACAGCAATTTCCTGTGAAGTGTAGTGCATTGTGTGTGCAGTGCCATAACTGTGTGACCTTGTTCTAAAGGATTCCCAAGGTGGAAGGCATGTTCAGGGCATTTGTGAGGAGTGGAGTTCAGTGCAGCCTCCTCCGGCCGTGCCTAGAGGGTAACTGACTGTGAGTCGCCGCCTCTCCCTCACTGCTCGAGGCGCGCACACATACACACACGTACGAACACACTGACTGCAGCCATTCCTTTATATATATTTTATATATATAATCTACTTATCTGTGCATTTAATTAATTTTTTTGTCTCAGATCTTGTTGATACGACGGGCTGACCGGTCAACACTGATTTAAGACATAGTACACAGATGAAGTAATTATGTCTCGTGCCTTACGCAGTCGTGGAGCCAACGCCTGGATGAGTCAGTCAGATGACAATTCTGCAGAGATGGATGACCAGGCTGAACAGGACGCTCCAGCTTCCACCACATCGCGCAGCCCTTCACCTCGATCTTCAGCATTGTCTTCATAGATAATTGCTTTAATGAAGTTTATGAGGGATGAGAGGCGCGAGAACGAAGCTAGAAGACTTGTGGAGAATGAAGAAAGAAGGCAAGCTGAGACAGAGAGAGACCACCAACGGAGATTGGAAGAGAGTGCACGGTTTGAAGCTTTGATATCTCGCCTCACTGTTAACCAAGCCCCTGGCTCTAACACTGCCTCGGTATCGACTGGTTCAGATACCTCATCAATGCTTCCTTCACGCCCCCCAGCCCCACCTAAAGCGGCCGCTCAAACACCTCCCATCTTGAAGCCTGATGTGAATTTCCAGACTTTTCGTAAATGGCGGCGACGGTGGACTGATTATGCTACAATGGTGGATCTCCAGTGCTTGTCACAGCCTAAACAACTTATTCAGCTGCGTATGTGCCTGTCCTTGGAAACTCAGCGTGTCTTGGAACATACATTGCAGGTACCTCCAACCTCTTCGTTATCTGTAGAGGAGGTACTGGATATTCTACAACGGCACATCAAAGAGCAGCGGAACGAAGCTCTACGCAGGAGGGAATTGTTTAGCTGCAGACAGATG